TTATCAAAAGCATTATTCATATACCCTTTTTGTCATTTTAATTTTTCAGTGCTGGGGGCATGTATAGCAGTTGCTTTGAGATTTCTATAACTCAACATGATATACTGAGAGACCTTGCTCTTATTTTGAGCAACCGCGGGAGCATTCATGAACACAGAAGATTAGTTATGGCACAACGAGAAGAAAATGGACTACTCCCCAAAGAGTGGTCAAGATACCAGGACCGACCGTTTGAAGCTCAGATTGTTTCAATCAACACAGGTATATATAAATAGCAATGCCTCTCAACTACTCTTAATTATTATCATTGTTCTCTTATGTTCTGTGATTAACCATTATGATGAATTTCACATTGCAGGTGAAATGACAGAAATGGACTGGTTTGAATTGGATTTTCCCAAGGCTGAAGTGTTGATTATCAATTTCACATCCAGTGATTACTTTTTACCTCCCTTCATCAATAAGATGCCAAATTTGAGGGCATTGATAATAATAAACTACAGTACCTCATATGCCCGCCTTCACAATATTTCAGTTCTTAAGAATTTGACCAACTTAAGGAGTCTCTGGCTTGAAAAGGTTTCTACCCCTCAGTTGTCAGGCACTGTCTTGCAAAACTTGGGTAAACTATTTATAGTCCTATGCAAGATTAACAATAGTTTGGATGGGAAACAGTTCCCTAACCTCTCTGAGCTCACTCTTGATCACTGTGCCGATCTAACGCACTTGCCCTCAAGCATTTGTGGAATAAAGTCACTCCAAAACTTGAGCCTCACCAACTGCCACAATTTGTCTCAACTACCTGTTGAATTTGGCAAACTAAAATCTCTAGAGATCCTCCGTTTATATGCTTGTCCAGATCTAGAAACACTTCCTCCTAGCATGTGTGACATGAAGAGATTGAAGTATATTGATATTTCTCAGTGTGTTAACTTGACATGCTTCCCTAAAGAGATTGGTAGATTAGTAAGTTTAGAGAAGATTGACATGAGGGAATGCCCCATGATTAGGTATTTACCGAAGTCTGCAGTGTCATTACAATCTCTGCAGCTTGTAATTTGTGATGAGGAGGTATATGGTACATGGAGAGATGTTGTTGAGATGACCAAGTCAAATGTCCATATTCAAGTACCAGAACAACACTTTGATCTGGACTGGCTTCAAGAGTGAAGTTTTAATTCCCTCCAATTCATTGTATATACATGTTCATAGTCTCTATTCTGAAAAGGAAATTTTCTTTTTCCAAAAGTGATGGTATGACACAATCGTTTCACTAGACTGAAGTACCATAACCTATGTTATTTCAGACGCCTTAGGTTCCAAGAATTAGTGGTAGGATTAGGTAGTGATAAACCCTACATGGTTGTTATTAGCTGAGTTAGAGAACAGACAAAAAGTTTCAATTTCTGAAAGCCTCCTTTCAAAAATCACATTCCCAATGTTGATTATTTGAAAGAAGTTAAACAATAAAATAAAATACGTTAGCAGCAGGGGCGGCTAGAAAAAAATGAAAATGGGAAAGACAGGTTTCCAAACGGAAATGCTTTTCCCATTTTGAGTTGGAAAGTTGGGACCAAAATGTTGGAATTTTGAGGCCACCATGATTATCTATGTACATGTACATTGTACATGTGCGACCAGTTCCCATCACATGCCTCCACCCAAAGGCGATGTCCAATATTAATACGAGAAAACGCGTAAAAAGAAGCATAAAAACAAAAACCGAAAGCAACCCATGGATTTGAGTTCACCACACTCGTAAAGGTTGCTGTCATGTGTCTACCTTGAAGCTTCCTTGGTCCATTTCTTATCTATCTTCTTTTCCATTATTGCTACTTTGGTCAATGTCTTTCTTTGATTTTTTATCCTCTTTAATCCGTAGATAATGCAAGTCAAGCCTCCCAAGTCAACTTCATCATCAGCAAAACCACCAAAATTATTTTTTGTGTAGCCTGGTGTGTGACTTTCAAAGACACTTATACCCTTGTTTATGACCCTCAAACAACTTTTACCAAACAATAAAAAAGAGAGGCTTATACCCTTGTCTATTTTAACATTTTTTATATGAATTTTAATTTATAAAAAAATTTAAATATAAAATGTTCACCATTACTTTATAAATCATGTCCTTGCACTTAAAAATAAAGGATTCACTATATATATATATATATATATATATATATATATATAATAAATAAAAGTTAATTTTTATGAATTATTATTCTAAATCACAAAATTAAAAAAATAGTGAAATAAAAATAAATATATTTTTGAAGGGTGTGATATATAGTTATATGTTTTTTTTTAAGTTTGTTACTCTTCAAATAATGATATAATAAAAAATCTTCATTTCTTTAATTATTTAATCTCGATACTTCAATTTATTTTTAATTATTAAATTCCTCCAATCAACAAGAAGTATAGTAAAATATATTTTGTTTATTGTCTAGATTTTTAAAATTAAAATACTTTTATTTATGCTTTAGTTATATTTTTATTATTAACAAATAAATCAATTTTATTTTTAATTCTGTTTGGTTTTCCACATATAAAAAGTAAAAGATGTTATTATACATATGATTTATCTTGCTAAAAATTTTAAATTATAGCTCCTTAGTTTATGAGAAAGATACTAACTTCTTTTCTTTAGATCTAACTTGATATATATAGAGAGAGAGAGGCAATACATGAAATATTATTGGTTATTAAAATATAATTGTTCATTTGAGTGGTTACAATGACAAATATCTACTAAAGATTTTCGTAAATAAATTTCTTTTCTTAGGTAGGCATTAGGACACGTAAGTATGTGACATAATTAATTGACATGAAAAAAGTAATCAGGTCGTTTTCTTATAGCAAGACTTGCTCATATGATCTCACAATAATCAGATTGAAAACTATATATAAGTAAAACATAAATTTCGACATTATATTATAATTTTTTGTTTTGAAATTTTATATAGCATTGTATGGACCCACCTATTTCAAATGTGATCCTAAATTGAACAAAAATTATATATAAAGCTAATTTTTAAAATTTGATGCCGAATAATGTTGGGTTAATGGGAGAGGTTTGATCAGTATAAATACTAATAGTATGTTACTTTTATTATTATTATATAAATTTTATGTAAATCTTACTGTGTTTCTAAATAAATAACTCGACCAGTTCAAAAAAATTTTAACAGTAACATTTTTTATGGATTATATTTTATATAAATGTATGTAAATGTGTAAAAATATATTTAATTTTGTCTGTTTTCGTAAATTTATGGATCAACCTAATTTATATTGTAATAATTATTTTATTAATATATATATATATATATATATAATATTATAAATTAATTTTACAAAAAAATTAATTATTTTAAAAATAAATATATAATAATTATTTATTTCAATATTTAATAATTAAAATTAATTTCTATTTTCAATCAATAAATTACAAAAAAATAATAAATAAATAAATTTTTATTTTTTATTTTAATATTAAATTGATTCATTCTCTTATAATTTATATATTAAATTATTATATCTTAAATAAAAAATATATTTTATTTTATTTTATTTTCTTAATTAATTATTTTTATATAATTACATTAATATTTTTAAATTTTCTTGTTAATCCATTAGTTTAAGATAAAATCAAATTATACTAAAAAGATATAATTTATTTAAAATATTGATTAAATTAGACAATAAATTTTTTAATTTAATCCATAAGTGAAGATGAAATAAATCTTGTCCATTTTTTACAACTCTAAATACATATACCCTTAAATTAATTAACCCTTCTATATCACTTGTCCTATAGAGTAACATTCAAATTTATATAAAAAATGAGAAAAAATTGAGTTAATAAGAAAAAAAGATGATTAATGCATTACAAGAACAAGAGCTTAAAAGTAAAGGAAAAATAATTGTAATCTACTTTATCCTAGAGACATTTTATACATTAAATTTGGTCGAGGGAACTGAGAATTCTACTTTTCTATATCCAGATAATATGAATAGTATATAGAAAAACTCACTCTTTTATAATGAATTCAAAGTCAGAAAATTGTTTTCAAATTTTGAATAAAATAAGAAGAATAATGATATGATGAAAAATATGTAAAAAGTACACTCAATTCTCATTTCACACCCAATTCTCACCACATCATTTTCCCAATAAGAAAAATATACATCAAAGTCATAATCTTGCACAAGAGTATTAGCATAAAACGATTGTATTTAATAATAAATGCATTCAACATTAAGTGTTTTGGTTTGAGAAATTTGAAGATTGCAGAAAGTTCAAAATTGTGGGAAATTCAATCTGCTTCAAAATTTTGTTCCCGATATATGTGTCAAACGAAGACATAAGAGAACAATGCATGAGTTCTCAGTTCAATTGTAATGTAAAATAGATAAAGATTTTGATTAAAGAACAACAATAATAAAACTGTTAGTGATACAATCTTACACTCTATTCTAAGTCTTTGATTAGAGCATAGGCATCATCCAAGTTGCTGATGAACAAAATCTACCATCTCAAACTGATCTTTTGCACTAAAGAAACTAGGATATAAAGAATTGGAATAAATTGCACTCTCCTGCAGTAAAAAAATGCTCATATTACATTTTTCTCTCCTGCTATTAACTATTGATCATACTAAAATTTCAGGAAAGGGCAAAACAATATCATAGGGGAACACATTAACAATTATTCACTACTATTAAGTTCACTTATATTCTACAGGACCAAACTGCAAGTCATTTATCTCCTGAAAAAATTAAGAAATATTTCAAAAATAAGAGGAGAAAAGTAACCTCAGCATCTTGCAGGAGTAGTTTATCCAAAGAATTACTATTCCAATCCATTTATACAAGGTAAAATTTGGCTTCTAGCCACTGAGGAAAATTTTGTTTACCCATATTTTACAAAAGTCATTGTACATGAAAATTTAAGAATTAAGTTCACAGAAGGGGTTAAGTACAAGCATATGAGTACTTTAGAGAAATCTGGTGGGCATATACTCATTTATCCTGAGAGGTAGACGGTAGAACTCATCATTTCTAACATCTCCTTTTCTATTCTGGAAAGGACCCCACCATGGAAGTCCTCTGTCCACAGCTGTATGTTTGCCTTCAAGTGTGTTGTCAATGAGAGTCCCAACAATTATAGCCACAGTTGGGGGAGAAGAGAATATGGTGTTCAAAATGTCATTAAACTGTTGTCACAAACAAGGTCGGATCAATCAGATGGATGCATTTCCAAAAGGTAGGATATCAACAAATAAACAGTTGAACAACGGTCTTATTTCAGAAGGATAATCACTTGATATAAAACAAGTCTGGATGGTGATTCCCCTTCTAGTAGTGATATGATCAAATTGAAATATATAGGAGAACCCTTGTCTTAAAAGTTGAATATAATGCAAACCCAAATTTTAATATGATCAAAGTCTATTCTAATGATTATTGTTAGACATTTCAGATCATTCTCTTTCTGGCTGCTATCCAGGTGAGGTTAAAGCCAAAACCCAAATTCAAGAAAACTCAGCTTAAAATTCTCTAAAACACCTCTTAATCTGTTCAAATTAATCTAGAAAAGTACATCTCTATGTTTCTCTCAAAGATTAACGACCTAAATTAGTGCTTGAGTATATATCAATTGGACATTTTAGGCCTTGAGATTTTAAAAACCATTACTGCAACTTCGTAATATGCTATTTCTGTTAATCTTTTGGCATTTTACTTTTCAGTCTTTTTGCATGAAAAAACCACCAAGTGTTTTCACTCTGGGGACAGGAGAATTGCACTTAGATACTGCCTGGGCTTCTCTACTGCATATAATTCATAGACTTCTTTTAACTGATCTAACAAAATGGTGTCCCCGGAAGAATTTATTTCCTAAAAGGTAACAAAATGGTTCCATTTCCCTAATCACAAACATCTTACACACATTTATAACCTTAACTATGTATTAAGGAAAGCTGATATGCCTAATTGATTGAAGGGAATGTAGAAGTAACATATTTTAAGAGTCGCTTACCCATCCACCATCTGTTTTAACTGGACCATGACCATCTGGTGCAGTGCTAGTGACAAAATATTGTGGAATTGATATAGCTAGAAACAAGGTTAGGCCCAGAACATATATATTTCTTATGGAATTGCTATTTGCAAACTGTATAAAAGAAATCCCAACAGCAGCTGCAAAAAAATCAATAATAAAATAAATGGCTTGCATCTACAGGTAAAAATTATTGTAATTTATGTAAGGATAGCAGCAACACCTACCCACAATACCAAACAAAACACAGTATAGAGCAGCAAATATGGGTAAGGGAATCGATGCAAAAAAGGCTCCAAATTTCCCTGAAAGATACAGTAAATGATTACACCAGAAATGTAAAACTGGAAGGAAAGTCCAACCACACAGGTTTCAGGGGGGATGTCGTACCAAAAATAGAGAAAAAGATCATGAAACCACATGATATTTGCACTACTCTTCGGCTCCCTATATGTGTTAGACCAAGTAGGCCAACGTTTTCACTGCAATTGCCAAAAGGATTTGTTAGATTATTTCTCATAGAATTCTTAATCTCAATCTCTACTAATATTCCTCTTGCACATGGAAGTTGGCAAAACTAACAATCCTTAAAACTAAGATTTAAAGATAAAATAGGTTTTATCAAATGTTAACCAATAAAGCAAAAAGTATGTCTACAGTAAATATTAACCATACAAAAAGCTTAGGGTGTGCATGGAAGTAGTGGAGGAGTAAGAATGGACTATATAATAACTCTAGATCCACATTGCAAATTCTATTCCTTCCCTCTTCCACTATTTCCATTTTCCACTCGTATGAAGTACAACTTGGTATTAATATTCTCCTTTCATACGTTAAAGTCAAAGTAACAGAGTACAAAACGGGAAAGCAAGAATAAAACATGTAGGGCTTGATTGATTTAATTTTGCTTTTTAGTTTTTCAATACAGTTATAGAGATCAATTTTGATAACTCTATTTTTGAATACTACTTTTGACTAAAGAGAATGACATAAATAACCATTAAGCATCAAAAAGTTGAAAACATGATTTTGATGATGACAATAGTGATTTAATGTAATTATTTGCAAAAAAGCCTTTGATTGAATTTTTTTAAAACAAGGTTCAATGGGATGGAGCTTGGTGGAATCTATTCCAACTAAAACCCTTGATTTTTCTTGGCCCAAATTGGGGGTATTTAATGGAAACTTACTATTTACTACTCTAATTACCATTTCATTCACTTTCCAAATTATGGAACGAAAACTATACTCCATTGTACTGTAAATATCAAAATGATGGGTACCATTTCCCACTAATCATTAGATATTCAAACATAGCCTAAGTTTTCAGGTTTCTCACATACACATAAAGCAATAGATGTGCTGATCAGCTTGCCACATATGGTTTTAGTAATAAGGGATCATTTTGGCGGGATATAACCTTCCTTTCTTTAGGTTTGCTTAGTTTTTTAATGAGTTTTGGTTTGGCCCCCATCTTTTGTACTGTCTTATTTTTTGTGATATTTGAGGTATGGTGAAAATGATTGGTGTTGACTGGGGTGCTAACCTAGTTGGGATTGCAGTCAACACTTATGCTTTTGCATACCTCAAGTAATTTAACTACCGACAGGGTAAGGGAAAAATTTAGTTGTCTAGAGCAATAGTCGGTCGACGAAGGAGTTAAAAATGATTCAATGATACCTCTCAAATCCTCGATAATTAAAATTTTATAGAGCTTACCTGCAACCCACCTAACTTTCCGGGGAAGGACGTAATAGCTACTACCCACAGAACCATTAAGGAAAAACTGATAGATAAGAAAAACATTGTTTTGTGGGACAGGAGAAGTTCTTAGGGCATTGATTTCTTACACAGATACAGTAGTACCAACAACAGAACCAAATATGCCTTCAAGCAGCATGCCAAGGCCCTGGCATTTGGAAGGGTGGAAAACAGGAGTTAGTGATAGAAGTTACATGCATATCAAGATTTTGCAACAATGTAAAAGAACAAGTAAATTAATTGTTACGAAGCAAGATCCACCTGCAGCCCAATGCTTCGGCTGAGCACATGTGCAGGTGGTGGTGTTGCACCAGAAAGCCTGGCTGCAGCAAAGAAAGCACCAGTTGACTGCATTCAAAATTTCATCAAGAAGATAACTCCACATTAGATTATCATTTTGATGACAATGGATAGAAAATAATGGCATATAAACAAAACAAAATAAAGCTAAGATAAATTATCCAGAGGGAAAAGTTTTCAAATGCTTCAAAAATGAGAATTAACATATAAATATTTAGAACTACATGTAGAATTCAAAATATTAGGGAATAGTTGATAGACCTCAGCAGAAGAGACGAGTGCTGCCCCCATCATCCCAAAGACATGACTAGCTCTGAATATGGGGGTACCCCACTGAAATGGATATGGAACTTTAATCCTGGAATAAAAAACAATATAACTGTTATTGTCAAGTTTCAGAAACAGCAGTCAAACTCAAATAAACTGTTATATTGATTGTTTTCTGAACATACCATGGAGCAGACGACATTAGGTTTGAGCGATCTGTGCGACAACTCACTTGGGTCTGTGTTTTAGCAGTATTGTATGCACCAGCAACAGTAAGGATAGCAGCAAATGCCCAGATGACAGCAATGCAGAGAAGTAAAGCAAACCTCTCAAGTATATGATGCGCAGCATGATAAAGACGCTTTAGATACTGCCAACCAGAAAAAAGGGCATATTAGTATCAGAGAAAAAACTCTTAAGGAAATTGTTTCAGATAAGGTATAAACCTGTTGTGTCATGACCAGTAGAATGAGCATAGGTAAGCCAATCTGCACACAATCTGCAAGCTGTATAGAAGAAGAAATATGAGCTCTTGAACTCTTCGTATTCATACTTTTAACCATAATAAATAACCCATTTATTCAAGGCAGTGAATTAGGAATATTTACCAAAGGAAAGCCCCTGGAAAACAGACCAAGACCCACAACACATACCACAGGTACAATGATTATGGGGCTAAACAATCTGTTCAAAAAAGAAGAATCACCAAAAGATTAACTAATAATTTATAATTAAAAAAACTAAAGATGTTACTTTATCTGCTAGTTTAGACATTGAGCATGAACTTAAAATACAAAGGGAAAACAAGTCAAAAGGTTTACCTTGTCAAATTTCCCCAAGTCTTACTAAACCCAAGGAAGATATTGACAAAAGAAGAAACAATGAGGGATCCTTGAATCGTTCTGATAGTGTAGATGAACCTCTACAAGTGCCAGCGTGATAATTCATTAGCAGTTTGATTTGCCACTTTCATGTTAGAGAAAGCAATTCAGTCAACAAATAAAAAGACAAAGCATACTGTCAGCAACATGGCCCAAACCTATCAACCCAATATGGCTACAAAGAAGCCCAACAACTTGCAGGATCTTCTGTGACACCTATAGTCATATTTCATATATGCTTCTACATGATATATTGTTATAACTGTCAGAAATGCTTATTTCACAAATATGCATGACTGTTAGATTCCCATTTTATGTTACCAAAGTGTGCAGGTAGCCAATGATAGGCACTTGTACTTATGTATAGAAAAACCATTTTATGGAATGAAGGAAGAATGAGTGAAAAAGAGTGCAGATAAGATAGAATTATCCATTTTACCAAACAGTAGCCTAACACATACACCACCAAAACTGAGTTGAGAAAATGTTCAGTTAAGGGAAAAGCAACAAAATCCAGAACAAACATTTGAAGAAAACAAAGCATAAGATATAAGGCTTGAAACAAAGAGAAGACATTGCATTTAAACAAATGAAAAGAAGAAACAAAGATTCACCAACTACTTATAAAATCAATAAATAAAAAGTTTTACTTGGAAACCAAGGTAAGAGTGCATATGGGCAACAACAAAAAGCCACATATTCCTATATAAACTTTTGAATCTGAATTCAGCACTCCTTAGTATTCATTTTCCAAAAAATAAAGGTAAGTTCCATATTCCCAAATATCCTAGTACAATAGAATTCAACAAAAGTAAGTTCCATCTACAATTACACACCAGTTTGAATAAAGTTTATTTTGCAAATTGAGTCAGCAAAAGCACAACTCCTTGAGGCAACACTAAGTCAACTATTGAACACAACTGAAAACCCAACAGGAGGCTTTTTTTTTTTTTCAGTTTTACTTTTTCAATGGACATTTTTGTGACAACTATGACTTCAAAACAATAATATCATTAAAAGTTGCAAGTTAGAAGCTATTAGCAGCATACAAACCTCATGCTCAGAAGAGAATGTCCTGTCTGTGTAATCATTTATTATGGACAACACTGGAAGTAAAAAAGCAAATGATCCACCCATAACAGTTGGAAGTCTTGACCCAAACCAAGTCTGAAGCAGTGTGTTCACCCCAGACATGAACAACAATGACTGAATCACACGAGCCTTGTCACCCTATCCAAAAATAACAAAGTTTCTTATTGTTATATCATAACTTATACCACAGAAACCAGAATAGTAATACTATAATTATAACTTTCGCTTACATGGTCCCCACCCATAGCAGGAACCAGCGTGGTTGCAATCAGAACAGTTGTTCCAAGCATAACAATGTAGTGTTGAAAACCCAGTAGAAGCGCCTCCGCTGCCAAATTTTTTTTTTATGCAATCAAAAGGTGAAAGCTTAGAGACATGCACCAATACCATCATAAGATTAAATCCCAGAAATAAATTAATAAACTTTTTCACAAGATTTACAAAACTGACAAGAGCAAAAAAAAAAAGACCTTTCTGCTCAATAGAATAAAATCAGAATGGAATAAAGGTAACAAAAAGCAATCTGCAAACAAACCAAGTTACATAGAATGATTTTTAATGATAAAGACTCAAAACTGAGTTAAAAAAAAAGGAACTTTGACAGATTCCTATTTGCAAACTACCTTTGACATCAAGAATATCTTTTTTTCCATCTTGCAACACAAAATAAATAAAAGAGGATGAAAAAGTGAGAGACTAACGCCAAGAAGGATTTGAGTGGATGCAATAGTGAAGTTGCAAGAGTTGTTCAGCTGGATTCCAAACGGGACCTCTAGAAAGTGCAAGATTCGGTGGTGGTGGACCCGCCGGAGGCGCCTGAACAGGTGGCGGTGCATGGTGGTTCTCTTCACCCATCTTTTTATTTTGTTTTTTTCTCAAAGAAAGAGAGAGTGTTTGTGTGGAAAAGTATGTGTTTTGTTTGTGGTTTATGAATAGAAAAGCAGGGAAAATGTAAGGGCAGAGTTTTATATTATGCTTAATGAAAAAAGGTAGCTTTGAAACAAAGAAAAGGAAATGAATTCAAGTGAAGGGAGAGTATTTTTCTGTTTTCAAAAAATAAGATTCATAAAGCTTATTAAAATATTAAGCAAAGTGTTGTTTTTTCTTCCAGAAAAATACACGGAAATAGTGAAGGAGTTAATAAGGATGCATTTTATGGTTGTCGTGTTCTTGGGGAAGTATTTTTCTCTTTTTTTTTTTTTAATTTGAGATTGTTAACGAGATGATGGATTGAACACGTGTATCTGCAGTGTTTTTTTTTTTTTTTTACAATCTTTAAGGATGTTCAAAGTTGGAACTTCCTCACATTACACACACTTTGCATTGCAGCACTCATCCAAAATTACCATTTTGCCTCTTCCTTTTACACTGTTCAATTCAGTGCAAATTTACAATTTATTTCTCCTTAGAGAATCAAAACAGTTACTAAACTCATGCATGTGATGATGTATCACCTGTTCTGTTCCACGCTTTTTTTAAGAATGTCACAAACCAGTCAACAAAGACACAAAGAAATATCAAGCATGTGGTCAGAGATGAATATTACAGTTACTCTTTGAAGTATGAAAATTTGTAGTCCTTTAAAACCGTTGTGTAATTAATCTTTAATTAATTTATTCAATTGAATTATTGAGTTACATTATTTCACACTCTTCGTTTATTAACTAGGATGGAGGGAAAAATTATCATCTATTTTAGATTTCAAAAATGAGTGCTATATACTTTAACTTGATTTAATGTTAATAGTTATATATATGTTTGGTTATTATTTTTAGTTATTATTGTACTATGTAAAACACATTTTAAAATTACTTAATTAAATAAACATGAATTTGGTAGTGAATTTAGTGTTATATTTGTTAGTATTAATGATTATTTACATAAGTGAATATATTAATACTGAACTATATTTGTCAGTAAATAATACTGAACTATATTTGTCAGTAAATATATTATATAATTAACGTTCAAAATATTATTAAGCATATTACATGTTTATGAAATGCATGAAGTTTTTTATGACTCTCTATATATATTTAAATACATGATTAAATAAAAAATGTATAATCTAAATATATTAAATTTAATAACATTATCAAATATAATTTGTTTATTAGATTTAATATTAATTATAAATTTATCAGTCTGTGTATATTTTAAATATATTTTTAAAATATAATTTTATGTAATTTAATATATAGTAATTATTAATTTAAAACTGTTATTTTTATTTTAAAATAATATATAAAATGCATTTGAATTTAAAATATTCAAATATATATTAATTGTGAATACACTTGTAGAGTTTAATAAAATAAAGTAAACTAATTGTATGTTTTTTTTCTTCTCTATGTCTTACCTAAATATAATTACACCTTTTTTAAAATTATTTATATTCTTTATATATCTATCATATTCAAATTACTTTCATATAAATCTGTAAGTTAATTAAAAAATATGTAACAAAAGTAATAATTTATCTTGAAATATTCAATCTTCAATTATTAATATGTACCCCATTAAAAAGCAACTAATAAACTTTACCTGTTATCATTGTAAACCTTTCAATATTTTTTTTACAGTGTACTCTTACCAAAACTTTTGCTGCTAAATCAATCATTATTACCAATACTGTTGTACTTAAGATTAGACACAATAATTTTGAATTTGAATAAGTTATTTTATAATTTTATAAAAATATTTTGTTATAAAATAATTTAGTAACTATTTTTATCAATTTTAGACAAACATAAATTAATTTATTTTGTTCAAAATCATATAAAAATACTATGATTAATTTAAATTTAAATTATATTTTATTTCTGATTATTTTGAATTTTTGAAACAAATGTATGAAAAAATATAAAGAATGTATCAATAATAATATCATTTTATTATATATATATATATATATAATCTAATTATATTTTATTTCACTAAATTATACATAATAAGGTCATGATGAATTGTTAATTTTTATAATTTCTAAAAAATTTATAATAAATTCATGTTTGAATGAATAATATATATTAAACGTTAATTATAAATACACAAGTTTTATAGTTCAGTAGCACATAATTGAATGACAATGTACACGTCTTATATGTTTATTAATTTAAATTTATTAAAAAATTAACTAAATTTTTTATTTTTTATATTGTCCAAACATATCTATACTTCATTTTTAAATATTAATTTATCAAGTTACCTTTTTATTAGCACATGACAAGAAAATAAATATAAAATAAAATAAAATTCTTTTTAAAAATGTTATGAAGTTTTTGAAATTATTATCCAGAATTTTTTTATAAATAATGTGTTTATATCTAATATTTTTTATATTTTCTAAGTGAAAAAAAAATATTTTCACATATTATAAACTAATATTTATAAAATAACTCTTCCAGCAATAAATAAATTCTAACATTAGTATAGATAATGATTCTGAATGTGGTAATTTTTCATTTTATATATTATTTTTACATGGGTCCACTTTATTCAAATCTTAATCAACTATGCAATTCATATATATATAACCAAACAAACTTCAATAGTAATAATTACCATACAAATTCACACACAAACCCAACATCTTCAAAAGACTTTTATCTCAAAAGTTTGACACATTCAGACAAAACAAATAACAATCAATCAAAAGCATTCTTCACAAACAAACCTTTATCATACATCATTCTTCAACTTTAATCATTTTTTTCTTATCTTTATCTTCTTTATTTCTTATTTCTCTAATAATATTGTCACACGTGCACATTCCAAGGTCTCAATACAAAAAGGAAAAAAATAAATAAATAAACAAAATAAAAGAACTTGAGTTTATCCACAAAGGAGTACTTTATCATAATCATAATCATGGAAATTAATCCAAATTGTATAATTAGATTCACTTCTTTAAATTAAAGTTACATTATCTTTCTTTTTCAATTATTCCATCACACACACGCACGCACACACACACGCACACGCACACACACACACATTTCTTCAGTTTTATAAATTTTTTTACATACTAATAATCTAAAATAATAAATTATCTTAAATATTGTATCAACAAATTAGATGATAAATAAAAAGTATTTCTTTTATTTTTATCCTTACAATAAATTTTATATATATATATATATATATATAAATATATATATATTTAATCAAATAGTATATATTAAAATAATTTGGTTAAGTATTAACATTTTAAAAATAATAAATATGGATATCAACTATTTTATCTAGTTCATTTAATCTCTTATTAAGAGGTTAATAAAGCAACACGAAAGTCTTGTTTATTATTTTTCTAAGTTTTTTTAAAATCCAATTCTAATTATTATATAAATAATTTTTATTACATAGTTAATTTCTATGTAAGATTGTGTAATTTTTCAATTTTAAAGCTATTTCTTCAAAAATATAGAATAAGAATGAATTATTTATAAGTGTAAATTTTCATATATATATTTTATTATTTTTTTAATCTAACAACTAAATACAAATCATTTATTAAAATTATTAGATTAAGAAAAAAATAATAATAATATCAACTATAAATGTTGTTATTATAGAATATTATAGCAGTGTTATTAATAGTTGATAAGGTTATCAGAAAAATTAGTTTTCATTTATTTTAAATAAAAACAATTGATATTGAGAGGAATAAAAATTAAATTTCATGAAATAGTGTAGTCTATAAAAAGATATTTTTATGAAAATATTATGATAAATGATACATCACTTAAGCATCAATTAATTTTTTTTATTATAAAAATAATTCTGTTGATTTTGATTTTTTTTATGCATATCAAAACAATTTATTTTATTTATTCATATTGAACATATTTTAAAATATGAAATCATTTTAAATATTTTAATTTGAACCTATTCAAAATAGATAAAAAGTTTTAAAAAAAATAAATTATGAATATTATTTTGATTATGAAACAATTGATTCAACTTTCATTTAATACTAATTTTTTTTAAAATAAAATTAGTGAAACAACTAATAAAATATATTAATATTTTATTAGAAGTATTAAATTATAGTTAATAATTATAAGACATGGAAGGATGTCGAAAGTTTTTAACTAAAATTACTTAAAAATAAAATTGAATATTTTATTATGGGTCTCACAGTTGATTTATTTAAAATATGGTCAAAATATGGTCCGAGTTGCTTCTTCAAGTATCTTTCTTCTAATTTTAAGCAACTTTCTTTATTTTTAAATAATTTAGATGTAAGACCCACGATAAAATATCTAATGTTATTCCTAAACAACTCCCATTGGAGATGGTAGGATACATTGTGGGAAAATAAAACTTTGATCAAAGAGAAGCAAATGAAAGACTTTCATAAAAAAATTTGTAAAATTGAGAATGAAGTTTTCTTTATGCACATGTCAGATCATGAATAAGTAATTGCATCCAATTTCCAAAAAATCTCAATTGTTTTTAATTCTTTTATCTTTTTGGAATGGAATAGGTACAAAATCCATGTGAATAGGACCAAACCTTATTTTGTGGTATTTACATAAGATTCTTCTTTTTCATTCTTAAGTAAGTCCCCGAAAAGGCTTAACTGATCCATGATTTATGTTTTATTTTTCGTTCCTTTTCATTTGTTTCGAGAAATCTATTCATCAATTTTGATTTTTTTTCTATTGAGATGTATGGATTCATGACATGTCTATATAGATCATGTTTATGGATTAACGAAAATGTACAAAAACTCTATCATTCTATGAATCTCTTCCTTTTTGCGTATGACATCGCCACTACCTTTGACAACATCCACTAATTTGGAACTTAATGTGTAAGGAACTTATCCTTGGTTACAGTGGCAAAATAAA